AGATACCAGACCGCAACGCTTCGGAGCTATACCCGGAGATGGAGCGTCTCCACCAGACCAAGACATGGCAGCGTGTCGGAGAGAGTAGTGCAGGTGGGACCGAGACCACGAGCAGAGTAAGGAAGAGGCTACAAGAGTATGAGCGTATCCCTCCCGAGACTAACTGATTCATATTATATATATATATATTCACTGTATACATTGTCACGACTTAATTTGGATTATATAAGTGCTATCGGATGCCGTTGAACTACTAGGATGCGTGTTTTCACCTCTAGTGAGGGGCCCTCCAGGAGGAGGCTCTCCCCTCTTCCTGCCAACGGGGACTTAGGGTGGCGAGGAATCACCCTACCTTGGAAGTCTACGTTTTTCTTTTTACGTTCTACGTTCACTACATGTAGGCCAGATGTTCAGGTCTGTGTAGTTTTCAGTTGCCTGGAGTTTTGTGAATGCAAAGGATTGGGTCATTTAAATCTGCCTCAACAGGGGCATGACAAATTAAAACGCTTTGGTTTTAAAAATACATTCTATAGTTCTTACAAACCTAGCCAGAAGAGGGGAGTGGCTATCCTTATTTCAAATGCAGTTCAATTTGAACTTCATAAAGAAGTTAGGGACAAAGAGGGGCGATATGTATTAGTGAAAGGAAAACTTGAAAATGCAGTGGTGACATTGGTCAATGTATATGCCCACATTTATTTTTAAAACTCTGTTTGACGTCATTGTATTAGAGACTGAGGGTATTTTGATATGTGGAGGGGATTTTAATCCTGAATCATACTGTAGACACAAAAATAGCAAGAAGCACCTGACCAAGTTTGTTAATGCGTCAGTGCAGGAAATGGGACTAATTGATATGTGGAGGGAACTTCACCCCCCAGAACGGGATTATACACTATTCGGTACCTCACTCTGTCTACTCCAGAATTGACTACTTTTTAATAAATACGGGTGAAAGTCAGAGGATCACAGAGTGTAAAATCGGGGTGGCAGATTTTAGGATCATAATATGATTAGCTTGTCAATAAATCTGAATAGTAGACAAAAGAATACGATGTGGGTGTTTTGAATAATAAGGCGACCGTGGAACAGTTAAGGGAAGAGATCAAACATATATATAGAGGAGAATGATAATGGGGATGTGGACCCTGGGATACTGTGGGATGCTTTGAAGGCTGTTCTCCGTGGAAAGCTGATCGCCCTAACAGCATCACAAAAAAGGCTAGCCACAAAGCATAAGAGTACAGGGGATCAATCGGCATTACAACAAATGAAGGAAACAAGAGGGGGAGATAAATGAGATCCTCAGAGGAGAAATAGAAAAAAAGGCAAGGTTTTTAAAGCAGTCTTATTATGAATCAGGCTCAAAAGCAGCTAGACTCCTGGTCAGACGCCTGCGCAAACAGCAAGCCTCCAATACAATTCATAGGACAAGGGACCCCCAAACTAATCAACTACTGTATGAGCCAGATGAGATAGGAAGAATATTTGAAGAGTACTATAAGACACTCTAGTCTAATCCACCATTAGCTGATGAAAGCACAATAAGAAACTTTCTTAACTCGCTTGATCTGCCATCTATAGGTGAGATACAGAATGACACCATTAGGTAGCAATGTACAGTTGAAGAGCTGGAAGCTGCAATCAGTAGGCTAAAGACAAAGACCACTGTAAAAATTATAGGCCAATTTCTCTTTTAAATGTGGACTACAAGCTGTTTACCTCAATCATCTGTAAAAGATGTGAGACTTTTATGCCAGATCTTATTCATGAAGATCAAACTGGATTCATTAGAGGGCGCCAAACACAAGACAATATCAGAAGGACTCTCCATATTGTACACAATGCACATAAAAAGGGCACGAGTATGGTTCTGGTTAGTCTAGACTCTGGACGCAGAAAAAGCGTTTGACAGTGTCAGTCAGCTGGTCTTTTTTGTATGAAGTACTAAGGAGGTTTGGTTTAAATGAAAATGCAATTCGGTGTATTAAGACTATTTATCATGAACCTACGGCTAGGATCAAAGTAAATGGGAGTCTGTCCAATAGGATTCATCTGCAGGCTCTAGACAGGGTTGCTGTCTCTCTCCTACTCTCTTTGCTTTATTTGTTGAACCATTGGTGCAAGCAATAAGGCAGAGTGAAGATCTCCAGGGTGTGAATATAGGGGGGGGAGATCATATCGTTGGGCTTTTTGCGGATGATGTTGTAGTTTTTCTTGAGCAACCAGATGTATGTTTCCCAAACCTGATGATCCTACTCGACACATATGGTTACTATTCAGGGTATAAAGTGAACGTAACAAAAACTCAAATTCTCTCATTTAATTATTCCCCATCCCAACAAATTAGACATGCATATAACTTAAAATGGAATTCCAAAACAATGACCTATCTTGGTGTAACTATAACCAAAACATTTTCCAACCTGTTTGAAGCCAATTATAACAAAATTGATGACAATATCGGAAAGGATGAAGAAAGGTGGTCCACCCTCCCTTTAGACTTCAGTGCCAGAATACAAACGGTTAAAATGAATATCATACCTAGGCTGCTGTATTTTTTTCAGTCTCTTACAATTGATGTTCCCCAAAACAAATTCATAACCTGCGACAGGATGATTTCTAGATTGGTTTGGAATAGTAAAAAACCAAGAATACGATTTACGACACTTCAGTTGCCTAAAAGTAACGGGGGAATGGCTTTACCAAATCTTAGGGAATACTTCTATGCAGCCCAGCTCAGACCTTTGGCCTACTGGAGTAGACCCGATTATGAGTCTGGATGGAAAGCCATGGAAAGGGAGGTGCAGGGTCACCACATTCAGGCCTTGGTGGGAGATAGGAATTTGGTGAGGGCTCTGAGAGGTGAAATGAATACGATAGTTGCGTTTACACTAGAGGTCTGGAATATTGTAGTAACAAAATACAAATTTAAAGAGACAGATACACACGCTGAGGTGGTTTGCATATGATTCCAATTTTAAACCAGGGGTGTACGATCCAGCATTTAAAGAATGGGTGCAAAAGGGCATAACAGCAATGTGTACGGTTTCAGAAAAGGGTGAATTGATGGGTTTTCAGGATTTACAGGCAAAATATGGTATTACAGACAGGGATTATTTTAGATACATGCAGCTAAGACACCATCCATCTTCTCCCGCTTATCCGTGGTCGGGTCGCGGGGGTAGCAGTTCCAGCAGAGAGCCCCAAACTTTCCTTTTCCCTGGCCACATCAACCAGCTCTGACTGGGGGATCCCAAGGCGCTCCCAGGCCAGCGAAGAGATATAATCCCTCCACCTGGTCCTAGGTCTACCCCTTGGTCTCTTCCCAGCTGGACGTGCCTGGAACACCTCCCTAGGGAGGCGCCCAGGTGGCATCCTAACTAGGTGCCTGAACCACCTCAACTGGCTCCTTTTGACGCGAAGGAGGAGCGGTTCAACTCCGAGTCCCTCCCTGATGACTGAACTTCTCACCTTATCCCTAAGGGAGACGCCAGCCACCCTGCGGAGAAAACCCATCTCGGCCGCTTGTATCCGCGATCTCGTTCTTTCGGTCATGACCCATCCTTCATGACCATAGGTGAGGGTAGGAACGAAAATGGCCCGGTAGACAGAGAGCTTTGCCTTCTGGCTCAGCTCTCTTTTCGTCACAACGGTGCGGTAAAGCGACTGCAGTACCGCTCCCGCTGCTCCGATTCTCCGGCCCATCTCACGCTCCATTGTTCCCTCACTCGAGAACAAGACCCCGAGATACTTGAACTCCTTCACTTGGGGTAAGGACTAAGCTAAGACACTATTTTTTAAAAGAGATAAGGCTGAATGCAGATGAATCTTTAGATACTGTAACTGGGATGATCGTGGATGCGTATCAGCAGAAGGGGTCTCGGATCATCTCTGCTTTCTCCCAGGCTTTGGGGGGAAACAGGGGGGAATCGACTATCTACATAAAAGCTAAATGGGAAGCGGAGTTAAACATTTTAATTTCAGAGGAAGAATGGTTTCAAATGTTCGAGATGCAATTTACATCCACACTCATTAGTATGGAGGGAATTCTGCTGGAAGAGCCTGACTCGCTTTTTCACAACACCCAAAATAAAGAGCAGGCAACTTGGTGTACAGCACCAGTGTTGGAGGTTGTGTGGGAACATGGAGGCTGACCTCTCGCACATGTTCTGGAACTGTACAAAGATAAGGTCATATTGGGAGAAGGTTAATGCAGTTGTCAAAATGATTATGGGATATGGAATCCCAAATACCTGCCCGGTGATGTATCTTGGGATCATTAAGGATGTTGTGATGGGAGGCGATCTATATTTGACTAAGGTTTTACTTGCAGCGAGTAAGAAAGCTATAACTAGGAATTGGTTTAATGTGAACGCTCCGACTCAGGAGCAGTGGCTGGAAATTGTTCAAGATCTTTTTGTCATGGAAAAGTTGACATAAGTTTTGAGAATCCAAGAGAATGCCTTCAATAGGAAATGGGAAAAGTGGAAAATGTACATGGTTGACACCAATGAGTAAGTGAATGACTAATTCATTCCTGTACGGTATGTGTGAATATTGAAGAAAACTAGTATTTATTGTGCTTTATTTTATAACTGATTTGTGTATTATTTGTTGTTGTTTAGGTTCACATGTTGTTCTGTTATTATTGTTGTGAAAACTCAATAAAAACATAAATGGAAAAAAACTACTACTTTCTATGTGATTGTCTGCTAATTTAATGGAATCCAAGAGAGCAATACAGAAATCCTCAAAATGAAGCTTTAAAAAACCCTTTGATTTCTCTAACCAGATTGTCATACATGTATTTATTACAACACACATGTATTTATTTTATCCCGCCTCAGAATACAAGTAGGTACTTGTAGTTTAAACTTGTGATTAATCATGATTAAATATAAAATCGATTGACACTACTAATATCAACCTATATTCCACCATAGGGCAATCTATGTTAACCCTTTGATGGCCTTCTCCCAGAGTTTCAGTCTACTTACGAGACAAACTTGCCCACTTCCACCTGGATGATGGCGTTTTTAAGCTGGACCTCCAGCAGCAGGGCGTCAGCCGGACCTCCCTCGCTGGTCTTGTTGACGTTTGGGGAGAATATCCGCAGCATCCCCATGTAGCTGCCCACCACCACCTTGTCTATTAAGGTATAAACAAAAAGCGTGACAGATGTTACATGAGATAAGTCAAGATAATAATAATAATAATAATAACTTGGATTTCTATAGCGCCTTTCATGATACCCAAGGTCGCTTAGGAAGTTGGAAGTTATTACTCCTAACAGCAGCCTGTCATTGCTTTCCCTTTGTGAGGTGCAAGCACTGTCACTGCTAAGGTAAAACAAGATATTTCTTTAACAACACAAAGTTGAAGAAGTGAAATGCCGACTAATTAGTGTCATTTACTCAACCTGAAGTAAATTGTATAAAAGAAGGCATTTGGTGGGAGGGAGTCAGCTCAGCTCAGTGTCAAAGTCTTCAGGACATCATTTAGTTATCAACACTTTAAATACCGCACACAGCACACAGTGAAATGTGTTCTCTGCTTTTAACCCATCGTAGTACCAGGAGTCTAGTACTAGGAGCAGTGGGCAGCTATTGCACAGCGCCAGGGGAGCAATGGGAGTGAGGGGGGAAGGGGGGTGTCTGGTGCCTTGCTCAAGGGCACCACGGCAGGGCAGGAGGTGAACTGGGACCTCTCCAAGTAGCAGTCCACACTCCATATTTTTTAGGTCTGTCAAAGTTTATAGTGTAAAAGGGCATAAAACATTCTGATAGAAGTATATAATGGTCATTCCCATGCTCTATTTAGTTGGTGCTAAATTTAAACTTAAATTTGGGGATTAGAAATCTTAACAAAAGAAAACACATAAAGATTGTACGGGCATCCTTTCCACATGAACATTGAAGAGCATGTCAGTGTCGCACTGCAAATGGCACATCAGTGAATAAAAGCATTCAGCACTATTGAAACTAATTAACTCAAAGCAACACATTCCAAATGTTCTATCTTCATTCCAGATAAGAAATGACTTATATATCAGAACAGAACTTACTGTCACCTAGCTACCATGTTCTGGCTGTGGCTGGTTAGCTTGTTTTAACTCTAGAGGGAACTGGTTTTCTAATTAAAGTATGGTGTCAAAGTGGTTTGATTTTCAGATGGAGAAATGTGGAGGAAATGTAACACAAAGCAGAGCGGCAAATGAAAGTGAGCACAGTCGATCTTTTGGATCTTTAAGATATATTTGTTATTTTCTTGCCAACATACATCATGATATACATTGTGTATATGTACACAACCATATAAACTACAATGAAAACATTTAACTCTGTTTGTATCCACATAAGTGTAGAGCCGTGTGATGAGACATCTCAGGAAAGGTCTGTGTGTTATTGCATCTCTTCCTCTCCACACACTGACCGTGTCCGGTGCCACTGTTGTCCACGTCTCCGACACAGAGGCATCCCTGGTCGAACTCCTCCCCCTCGCCAAGCGCTGCCGACCACCAATCACGGGCCTTGAACAGAGACATGCTGCCTCTGATTGGACGGAGAGAGTAAGTGAAGAAGACAAGAGGGAAATGGTTAGACGTGACATGCAAACATCTGTCTGTTTCTCTTTGGTGTACATTTTCCAATAAAATCAAATATAGCGCTACTGATTTAAAATGTGTAGCAAAATATTGAAATCAAGACAAGCTATTAGCTGATAGATTTAAAAAAGAAACAGAAAGACTGTTTTTAGAGTCAATTAGGTGCCTCGTTCTAGAGGTATTAGGTTTGGGCCTGAGATGAGTCTGACAAGGTGGAATGTTTCTCATGTTTGATATTCACTCGGTGTTTCGGTGGAAAACTATTCCACTGGGATCATCAACACAAAGTGAAGGCAAAGGACAGCGCGTGTGTTTGCTGTCAACACAGGACACACACTGCTGTATCACCACCCAGCCTACCCCCTCCTTCTACCCTCCTCTGGTTCTTTTCTTTTCTTTCGGACTCATCCATTCACCCTCCGCTCACTGGCAGGTACGGAGCATTCACATCATTTCATAAGTATTTGAAATCGCATTTGAAAAAAATGCTTATATAATCTGTAGTTGTGTTGATTTAATGTGTGAACGAGGCGATATAGAGAAGGTTAAGCTGTCAGGCTGTAATTTGTTATACAGTTGGATAAGCAGGCCTATTGTTTTGGGATATGTGTGGAGTTCGGTGTGTTTCATTGGTTAAGTGGCCCTGGTATGAAAACGTTTGGGAAACACTGCTCCACTACAGGGGGGTATTTAGACGGGGCCAGCATTACTTTCTCTCTTCTGCTCGCATATTGTTTCTAATCATATTTATTATGATAAAAATAAACTATATTGTGATAATGGCATATTGTATACTGTATGTATTAAAAAGAAGAAGGAGAATATTCATACTAGTCCATGTAATGACGCCATACCATTACACATAGCAACAACAATGTCTGAGTGAAACTGCCACCAGCTCCATGGAGGAAGATTTACTCCCAAAAGAAGACGTGTGACTTCAGTGTTGTTGAACATCGGCTAGCCACTGAGACTTTCCGCACTTTTAGCAACTTGCCGCTCAGAGTCATTTCAGTGTGTTGCTCTTGCAGCAATATTTTCCAGTATTTGATCATAATCGCAAAAACAGAATGATAATACTATTTTAGGGCTATATTGTGTAAACCTTTGGCAGGTTTAAATAACATGTCATTGAGCCGATGCTTTCATCCAAAGTGACTTTAAGTATCAACCATGAAGACACAAACTCAGAACTGCAACCAATCTGCACGTAAAATAGCTTCAAATAACACAAACCATTGTAAGTACTGGTGCATTGGTTTTAAAGAGCAAAGCGTTTACTGTGTGTGTGTGTGTGTGTGTGTGTGTGTGTGTGTGTGTGTGTGTGTGTGTGTGTGTGTGTGTGTGTGTGTGTGTGTGTGTGTGTGTGTGTGTGTGTGTGTGTGTGTGTGTGTGTGTGTGTGTGTGTGTGTGTGTGTGTGTGTGTGTGTGTGTGTGTGTGTGTGTTCTTTAAGTGTGATGGTCAAGGCGCAGACTGAAACCGATGGGTTTCAGTCTGCGCCGGAAGATCTGATTTCTTCTGCTTGAACGGAATCAAACCCTCTGTTCACTACAAGAACACTGGATAATCAATCTGCAGCCAATAGCGGAGCAGAAGAGCAGATCACATGACCTGAGTATGAGAGTAGGGAGGGTAATAAGAAGGGAGGTGGGGGCAAGCAGCTTTGCTACTTGCTAAGTGCTGAGCAGGTGGAACGGGCAGCTAATCCACAGAGCCCCCCCCCTCCCATCTACACTGCCACAAAGAAACGAGTTCAAGGAATATTTCACCATCTTCTAAACAGATGAATGTCTAAAATGCTCTGAATCTGAATCAGGAACAGGTTTATTGCCAGGTAGGTTTACACGTACGAGGAATCTGACTTGATGTCATGGTGCATACATAAAAAATAACATTACAAAATATTATAAATAATTAAAAATATAGTAAAATATTGCAGTATTTACATGAATGGAATAAAATATGGAATATTGAGAGGCATGTACAAAGATTCTCTACTAATGCTTTTATTATCAAACCAGGAAATGAAGACACTTAATAAAATATTGTCCCGAAAGCATAGAGTCGTTAGATTGTTTTCTAATGATGCAGAATGAAATGATCATTCTCTAATGACAGCTGGGAGGGAAGCAGGAAGCTATCGGCACTCCTCGCTTGTTATTATAGCAGTTTTATGTCTGACAGGCTGATGGATTTATCACTGTGTGGTTTAGCTTTGTGATTTGTTCACTTCCCTTGACACAACCTGTTGCACGTCCTGTTGCAGCAACTTGCCCTAAACAGTTATGAGTTATTTTAAATCAATGAGATGTAAAACGTGCCTTTAATAATGCTTTCCATCTTTCTGTTTGCTTTCTGCCAGAATTAAGCCGGTAGAAAAGGTCAATAAACTCCACGTTAGTCCATGTTGTTTTTGTCAGGGCACCCTGTTCAGTCCTCTGTGGTGGAAGGCACCCTGACGTCTCTGAAGGCTCAGGGAAAGTGACCAACACTGTTTACGGCTGTACAATTATATATCAATATAGCTATAAGACCTTCCTGTAATATTCCCAAATATAACACCAGAAACATCTGAAGAAAAGAACATCTGAAGTCCAAATGGAAGTTGAAACTGTAAGAATCAGAATCATTTTCATTTCAAACCTTTAATACTTTATTATCCCAGGGGAAAATGGGTTGCTGAATGTTAGAATATCAAATTAACAACACATTTTAATTAAATAATATATAGATATTCATGTAAACTTAGAAAGGTATAACTAAAATATAAAATATGTTGTTTGTTTTGTAGCCTTTATTTAACCAGGTGAAAATCCCATTGAGATCAACGATCTCTTTTTCAAGGGAGACCTGCAGCAAAATAATATAATAAAAATAACCAGAATATTTAAAAACATGGACACATTGTACTTCAATGTGGAAAGAGGTATTTTTTCCTTAAATATTACTTAAATATGTGTATAACATGAAAGGAGTATTTAAACTCAAATGAATTAATGGTTCAAGCTTTGTCTTCTATGTATCTTTAGAACACATACATGTGTTTACAGTCCACTTCAGAATAATATATATGATATATGTTATAATGATTGATCATTAAAGTGTTATCAAAGCTGGTAAAGGTGCAGCTAGTGAATTTACTCCAGGTGGAACTAAAGTCTGATTTAACACAAAGTAGTATGAAATTAAAATACAAAAAAAGTACAAGTATCTCAAAAGTATACTTAAGTACAGTACTTGAGTAAATATAGTTAGTTACTTTACACAACTGCGAGCAAAGCAACTGAATCACAAGAGGATAACTAACAGTCCCATCTTATAGAAGACAGAAAGCAGCCGACACATGCCAACAACTACACTATAGCTATTGTACATACGACAATAAAGCCTCTGTATCTTTGAAGACCAAACACCTGTGGGTTCATTGTTCTATAACTAAGAACACTCTTGTTATTGCAAATATGTCCAATATGACCGAGCATACAAACACTTAAAGTAATCACACATGCCTTCAGAAGCTGAACAGCAGAACGGTTACAAATCTTATCTCGCAGCTAACGTCAAGCCGGCAGAATTAACTTTAGCTTAGCTAATTAGCTAGCTCTCCAAGTTACCTGGATACTGAGCAGATATAAGAACAGCCTTATATATATATAAATATATAAATCCCCTCAGCTGGTGACTAAACACACTCAGGTTTGTTCCCGAGGTTCTCTTACCTTCACGTACACACGCCGGTCCGTAAAAGCCGATGTGTTGTTCCTCCTCACACACAAATCACATTTCTCACCCTCTATCTTGCAGCCATCGTACTGTTGTCATGACACTGACGCTCAACGGGCAAGCAGGGCGTTTGTGCGCAGGACCGGAAATGAGAACCGAAAGGACAGCCGGGAAATTGAGTTTCTGGACTGAATCAGAATGCAGAATACACTACATGCACAATCACTTCCGCATTGTACGTAGTACTGCTCAGCTGTTTACGGTACAACAACAACAATGGCAACCTTCTACACCCGGTGTTTACAAGAGCTCCCGAAATAGGAAATGACCGATGTTCATCGAATTTGCCGTACGACTAAATCCTCAGCCAGCAGATTGGACAAAGGGTTCAAATGATATGCTGCATCATATATTCATGATTACGAAGGTAATAAAAAAGTATATACGGAATGACTAGTTAACTAGCTAATGCTAACTTAGGCTACCATGTTAGTGAAAAAGAAGACATGATAATGCAGACGAGAAATGAAATGGAGAGACGTGGGCTTCTGCCCTGACTTTCTCAATACAAATGTTGACAAATCTAATTTCCCTCAGTTGCATTTTCACAAATAGAATAAAGGTTTCTCAAATCTAAAACTGTGTTATAAAGAATGTTTAGACTCTCTGGGATAATCTACTACAGATTTGATGAGTGTAGGTATAGTGGTTTTGGATCAGGACCTGGTCTAATGTGGTCTAGATGTGAAAAAAGCACTGAAATCTCCCTTTTTTGTATTTTCACAAATAGAATAAAGGTTTCACAAATCTAAAACTGTGTTATAAAGAATCTTTAGACTCTCTGGGATAATCCAGTCCAAATAAATCGGCTATGCAGCGATTTAAGAGGTACAAACACAGAGTATTGTTCGCTCAGCGCTGTAAATAAAATGTCCCTTAACTTTCCCCTTAACTGCTGAATCGGAAGCCAACTTCAGCGTTGTCAGGAATACTCTGTTACAGTAAAAGTCCTGCATACAAAATGTTACTAAAAGTAGAAAGTATAAGCATCAAAATATAGTTAAAGTAGCAAAAGTAAAAGTAGTGATTGTGCAGATTTGTCCATTTCAGAATAATATATATGATATGTTTTATAATGATTGATCATGAAAGTGTTCTCAAAGCTGGTGAAGGTGCAGCTAGTTTGAAGGACTTTGTATACTGCAGGGTAGCTGGTGGATTTACTCCAGGTGGAACTAAAGTCTGATTCAACACTTGATTAGATTTCACATCATTCATCCACATCTGTGAAAGTAACTAAAGGTATTAAATACATGTAGTGGTCCTAGTGGAGGAGAAGTACACCATTTTACTTTGAACTGTAGTGGAGTAGAAGTAAAAAGTAGTGAAACATTAAATACAGTACAGGTCCCTAAAAATTGCTTTTAATTAAAAGTGCAGTACTTGAGTAAATGTATTTAGTTACTTTACACCACAGCTGATTTCCATTGGTCTCCAGTCAGTGCAATACATGTAGCTTGTGCTGTTGTGTGTTTGGGTCAAACTTGGTGATATGATTAATTTGCGTTATTTTTTTTTAACACATTAAGGTTTTCATAGTAATTGCAAGTGTTAAAAACTTTTGTTGACAGCCCAAATTTAACCCAAAATGTATCATTACGGAGGTTTTGACTGAAATGTTTGCATTAGAAAGTGTATGTTTATTTATTTGTTTCCAGGGTAAGTTCAACTCTCAGAATGGAGAACATGAGAGATTTGAATGAGGAAGAGGACAACTCTTCAGTCTCCAGCTGTCTGTCTCTGAAGAGTGACCGGTCTAAAGAGCATCCTCCAGTCTTCAGTAATGATCCTAGACCCTCAGACACAAAGTAAGAGTCTGTTTCTACTGTAATCTGACCTGAAGAGGAGTCTGATTTGATGTGGAGCACAGAAATGAAACAAAGTAAATTAGAGTAAAGAAACCCAGAAGAGGAAAGTAGAAAATGTGTAACTGAGCTGTGGCTGTGCTCCTTGGCATCAACAGCCACAGTAAATGATCTACTATTGTGAAATAATTTGAGATGAGGGACTTTGTGTTAGGTTTGAGTAAATCAACATGTAACACTTTTCCCTCATGAATTAATTCTAACAGCCGAAACCCTCAAACACGACTTAAAAAGTGAAAGTCTGGAGCAAGTCCAACAATCTTTAATAAGGTAAACGGGCTGAAATCAAAAGCTGCCCTTTACAAAAACTAATTCAGATTCAGATATTGTCATTACATAGTACATGTAGCCTACTAGTGACGAAATGTAAGTTTGGCATCTGACCAGAAGTGCAAAATAGCAGTGCAGGTGTCTACATAATAAGAATAATTATAAATAGAATAATTATAAATAGGCTATAAACAGATGAATATGTACAGTATAAACGGTATTGACAGTAAAGGATATAAACAGGTGGGTGCTGGTAATGATGTGTGTGAAACATTGTGTTGCTTCCACAGACAGAGAGCAGAGTCCCCATTCTCCAGCTGTCTGTCTCTGAAGAGTGACTGGTCCAAACAGGAACCTCTAAACTTCAGTAATGAATGCTTAGTTCGAATGCTATCTGACAATTTAAAATATAATTGTATTATTATATAAGTGAAGTAGATTACAGTACAGGAACACAGTAGAATACAGTAAACATCTACAGCAGAGTTCAGTAATGAAACACTGTAAAGTGCAATAAAGTAACGCAGTTGGTAACTGTCTTTATTAAACCTTGAATATCTTAAGAAGTATCATTGTTTTCTAACTTACATCATGTGTTCTTTCTTCAGACTGGTTGGCTGTAGTTTGGCCGAGATCAGCTGTGCTGCTCTGGCCTCAGCTCTGAAGTCCAACCCCTCCCACCTGAGAGATCTGGACCTGGGTCTCAACGATCTGCAGGATTCAGCAGTGAAGCTGCTGAGTGATCTTCTGGAGAGTCCAGACTGCAGACTGGAGACTCTCAGGGTCAGTTCTCCATCTTTAACTTCTGTGCTGAGATTAATATGTGAGAGTTGTGTTGACTCTGAGCTGCAGACATCAGGCTGATATTATCCTGATCAACACTGAGTATCTTAAAGGGGACCTATCATGTCATCTTGCAAGAAACATCGTCTGAGGGCTTCTTAAAATTTTACAAACTATGAATGTGTCATACCCACTTCATGGGAAGAAACTCAGCTATCAGACAATATTAGCCATTTTTAGCTAAACGAAACACAAGGGTAATAACAAAGGCTCTGAATTAGCCCTAAGCGAAAAAATGCTAACACACTTAGCACAGAACTCACAGTAGAAATACTTTATTACTTATCGGATCTACACAAACAAGATATCAGATTCCACAGATTATAGAAGTATTAGTATCATCCAGTGACGTGCGGTGAGGTTCGTGGCTGGTGAGGCACTGACTCTTTTAGAGTCAGATTTACAAATATTATATTTTGACCTTAATCGAAATATTCGGTTATTTTCCAAAGCTTTTTTAGTCTGATGCTTCGATTCATTTTAAACAGACCGTTCAACAAAAGGATACCCAACATCTAAATATTGGATTGTTCTTTCTTAGTAAGATCCCATTTTCATTACAATTGGGGTCTTACCTTGACTTGAAGATGAAGTCCATGCTCTCCTTCTGGACAACAATCTCTATTACTTTTTTGTAAAAGTCCTCCTTATCTTCCTCTAGTTTCAAAAGTCTAGTTTGTTGTTTGCGTCTACCGTCTCTGCGTAGAATAACAGTAGCAACAAGAACCTGTGTGCTCACTTGCGCCCCCTTAGTGCGGCAGAGGTTATGGCTGCCTCCCCTGGTGCTTTTTTCATTGCCGTTGTATGATGAGACCAAGCGGGCCTAAATATCATATATACGTGAAATAAGTTATTTGGAGACTATGGGTGGCGAGGATAAATGTAATAAAGGGATCTACAAACATTACATTGGTGACATACAGTGAGATGGTAACAGGCATGCGCTTAGGGCCCGCTTTCCAGACAGTTTCTGTGGGGTGACGCATTCTGAGGTGAGGCAGAGCTCATCTGTGCCTCATCTCACCCCACAGTAACTGGCGTGAGCGCGCTCACAAAATAAATGTCCGCGCTAAATTAGTGCCCGCGCTCCAGCCAGTTACTTTGGGCTTACGAGAGGCAGAGCTCGTCCCTGCCTCACTCCTCATCGCTCCCATGTAGGAGTTGTAGCGGAGCTCGGCAAATTTGCTGATTTTGACTATAAAAAGCGATTGGAATCATACAGGAATCACACTTACAACACAGATCAGTGGAGACATGTTATTATTATTATTATTATTATTACTATTTCGTTTTTCTTTAGTTGTTTTTCCATTACATTGGAGTATGACAGGTGAGGCTCTGCCTCCCCTGACTGCACGTCGCTGGTATCATCACTGAGCGACCAAAACTTGTGGCAGGGTAAGCAAACCCAGATAGCACACAACGTAGCTTAACGGGACCAAAACGGAAAATAACATTACCTTTGCTGTTTTCTGATCAAAAGTTGTGTTCAATGGCATTAAAATGCATAAAACGCTGCTGGAGGTTAATCCAATGTCTCTGTGTCACTTTGAAATGATTACTGATAATCCATTTTCATATTTATGGCAAAAACCGTAGTTTTCAGTTGTCAGAGCGTAACATAGCTTTCGGTTTGGGCAAACTGGGTGCGCATCACTCTCACTCCTCATTGTAACGTGTAGATGTATTTAGGAACTTCCCCCTCAATTCTATTGGCTCTAACGGTCAAAAAGAGGTGTCAATCATCAAAATCGACCAATGGGTTCCAGAAAAAGGGCAAATTCACCCAAATGACCCCAGAGGTGTTTTGTTTTTACTAAACCTCTCTAAAAAGGTCAAATGTAACTTGTTTTGCATCAATTTGTTCTGGGGATGTTATTTTCGAGCCTGAGACCTTAACCAGTTAAGCCCTGAGCCTGTTTTTCAGGTCCCAGGCTCAAAAATGACATTCCCAAAACAAATTACTATATCTTCCCTTCTAAAAGGGGTAAATTAATAATCTTTTTTCTCAAAGTAATGATAAACCTGTGAGTTGGATGTAGAACAGTCAGAATCAATATAGATTTTTTTTATTTTAAAGTAAATTCAGATTGAACATAGTAAACAAATATATAAATTATAGTGCCCGTCCAAAAACAAACATTACTTATAGTGAAAACCACCCTTGAATGATGAGATAGTAGACTAAAACTTTTAGGAATCCAAACTAAAACATATAATGAGTACCCTGCATCAAGATTGATGCAAAACAAGTGACATTTGACCTTTTTAGAGAGATTTAGAAAAATAATACCACTTCTGGGGTCATTTGGGTGCATTTTTCATATCTCTGGCCCCCCTCGTTCGATTTTGATGATTGACATCTCTTTTTAACCGTTAGAGCCAATAGAATCAAGGGGAAGTTCCTCAAATCCATCTAAACATTACCCATTGGTGAATGAGTGATGCGTAGCCAGAATGCCTCGGAACCGGAAGCTGCGATACACTCTGGTGGCTATCATTAGCAGCTAATATGAAAACTCCGCTATTATTGACGTAAAAATGTAATGATGGATTATCAGTAATCATTTCAAAGTGACACAGACACATTGGATTATTAACCTATGGATTAACCTTCAGCAGCGTTTTTATCGTTTTAATGCCATTGAACACGACTTTTGATCAGATCAACAGCTAAGGTAAGACGATGTCCCATGAATGCTCCGTAAAGCTCGGTGTTGTGATTTCTATGTATGCTTCCCATGTCGCGAGTTCTGATCGTTCAGTGATGATACTTATATATCTGGAATCTGTGGAATCTCAGCTTGCTAATCAATATCGTGTTGGTGCAGTTACGATAAGTAATAAGGGTATTTATACCTAGAGTTCTGTGCTAAGTGTGTTAGCATTATTTCGCTCGGGGCTCATTTAGATGCTTCTTGTGAGACTTTTTCGGTAAAAATGGTTCGTATTGTCAGTTAGCTGAGTTTCTTCCCGTTAATCGGGGATTAATAGGTTTTTAAATGTTAAGAAGCCCTGAGACACAGTTTAATGAAAACAAAAAACCCGCAGTCCCCGGTACCGGGGGCTCTCGGGCTTAACAGGTTAAAAACAGGCTTGGGGCATAACTGGTTAAACCTTTTATAACAGGAACATTGTTTTCTAAACTTACATCAAGTGTTCTTCATTCAGACTGAGGGACTGCAGTTTGTCAGAGATCAGCTGTGCTGCTCTGGCCTCAGCTCTGAAGTCCAACCCCTCCCATCTGAGAGTTCTGGACCTGAGAGAGAACGATATGAAGGATTCAGGAGTGAAGCTGCTGAGTGATTTTCTGGAGAGTCCAGACTGCAGACTGGAGACTCTCAGGTCAGTTCTCCATCTTTAACTTCTGTGCTGAGATTAATATGTGAGAGTTGTGTTGACTCTGAGCTGCAGACATCAGGCTGATATTATCCTCATCCTCACTGAGTATCTTAAAGGGGACCTATCATGCAAAATGCGCCTTTTGATGTATTTTATACATAAATATGTGTCCCCGGTGTGTCAGGGAACTCACAAAGCGTCAGAAAACAAAACCTTCTCTCTTTTCCTCCATACCCAAATCTCTAAAAACAGGGGCTACAACGGAGCTGATCAAGATTTGCGTCCGATATGACGTCATATCTGAAATATACCCACGGCCCTATCAGAAACGTTGCTATCAGAAACAATGCCCTACTGTTTTGGACGTAATATGGTCTTTGTTTACATTAGCAAGCATCGCTAACCAGGGCTCGACAGTAACGGTTGCCAGGTTGCCATTGGCAACCATTCAGAAAAAATGTTAGCCACTTCTTGGCCTTTGGTTGCCATCAGTGGCAACCCGTTTTTAACATAAAGAAATAAGGACAGCAAACAGCTAAATGTGCACCCCAAAAGAGATAAATGTTAATTATTGTTGTGACCAGTCGGAACCTGGTCCTTAAGTTGCACGTGCATTGGTGTGGTTACGAGCCAGAAAGCGATGCACGTGTACTCGCGTGCAGGGTGCGCCGTGTGTTTGTTTTACAAAAAATGGCGAAGCAAATTAAGTTGTTTGACTGTGGGGTAAAAAGTTCGGTCAACATCTCAAACGAATGTTCAAAGTGATTCAACTGATAAAGCGCATGGTGAACCCGAATGAAAAGCAAAGAGGAAATGTGTAAAGTCTTCGGAGGCGAAATATTTATTATGTACATTCTGCTCCGTTGTGCATTCACTTCCGGTAAAAGTTCCTTCAAAATAAGAGTCCCGATCTTATTACTACCAAAATAAAAGTGCAAAACGAAACTTTACCATAGGAAAATATTGGCATACAAATATAATCACTTCTATAAAAAGGTAACACATGTTAAATATAGTTAGACATATTAAAGGTAATTTACAGCATTAATAATTAATATCTAATTCTTAACTGTGAATGGTTTTCATTTATTTAACATTAGAAATGTATTAGTCTGGCCAATCCAAGACTTCAATGCTGAAGGGCCAATGGATCTATGGTGGGGATCAGCACCAGAGTTGGGTGTAACGCGTTAAGGCCCTGACACACCTACCCGATTCTGGGAGTCAGAGGCCGTCAGAGGCAGTCGGGCATTCGCGGCACCCTACTCAGGTCGGTGTGTCCCGCACCGTCGTTGCTTTACGGCACATTTTCACATCTCCCATGGCCGATTAGACATGTTGAATCGGCCAAAGAAATCACTCTGATTGGCTGTTGCCTCTTTTGAACCCAGATTGAGGATGTTGTGAGTGCGCCGCCGCCGACTCCGAACCAGCACAAATTTGAATTTGGAGGACCGGTAACCAAAGCAGAGATGGACAGGCTTGTAGCATCCTTCATACTAGAGGAAATGTTGCCCATTTGCACAGTGGAATCACCATCGTTCAGAGATATACTGCGCAAAATACAGATAGCAGGAGACAGAGGACAGCCATAGCCAGATAGGAAAACTTTCAGGAGCTATCTGTCTCGCAGAGGCAAAACTGTGTCTGCGTGATCTGCCTGTAGGGAGGGGCGGCCCGGCCCTGCGAGTAAAGAAACGAGTAACTTCAAGACAATGGTACTTGCTTACCATGCTGCGAATGGATCTGGCCCTTCGTACATCCAGGACATGGTTAAACCGTACACCCCAGCGTGTGCACTATGCTCTGCATCAGCCAAACGACTCGCTGCACCCTCGCTGCGAGGGGGACCCAAGTTCCCATCGGCGAAAACACGTGGGTTTGCTGTCCTGGCTCCAGGATGGTGGAATGAGCTCCCCATTGACATCAGGACAGCAGATAGCTTGCACATCTTCCGGTGCAAACTGAAAACTCATCTCTTTCGACTCCACTTCGAGCGATAGAACTATTAACGAAGCACTTTTATACTAATAAAGGACTGGCTTATCTAAAGCCAGTTGAGTAGCACTTGAAATGTTTGGCTCTATGAAACCTGATGTACTTATATGATTCTGTTTTCTTCAAGGTTGTGTCTTCCTGGTCGAATGCACTTATTGTAAGTCGCTTTGGATAAAAGCGTCAGCTAAATGCAATGTAATGTAAAGTAACGAGTAAAGTAACAAGTAAAGTAACGACTTACTTCATGTAGAGAGTAACGAAGTAGTGTAATATATTGCTTTTTTTAAAAAAGTAATATGTAATATATTGCTTTTTTTTAGTAACGACCCCATCTCTGGTCAGCACAAAGGTCAAGAAAACCCACATTTGAAAGGGAGATAACGGATGACCAAGAAACTAGTGATCTATGAAGAACAGAACGAAAGCTCCACTACTGGTGTTTTGTATACCAGCAATTGCGGGTGGACAAGCTTCCTATCACTTAAGTTTCAAATAATTGTGTTAATTACTTATTGTAAAGCATTTGAACATTCTTTTGTGTCACATTTTCAGTATTAAGGTGATGTATAACTGCATAGTATCTTCATTATTTAAAATATAAGGTGACTAAAAATGACTACCATATTTTCAGTTTTGGCAACCAAAAGCTGATGCCTGGTTGCCAGCCTGGCAACCACTTTTGAAAGTTAGCGTTGAGCCCTGATAACACTCAGAGCTAACCTGTACTGGAGAGAATATGTGTAAAAAAGCAGGAACAAAAAAAAAGAACTCACCTTGTGGTAAACCCGCAAGAGAAAATGTAGTTGAACTCCATACTGTTTCAGAAATACTCCTTGATGTGGTTTGGAACATGACATGGCGTTTAATCACAGGAGCATTAGGCTGAATCTGCCGGGTAATTATGAGCAGGCATTAGCTCCCCCTCCTCTTTTATTTTTGTTTAAGCTAAGGACCCCGAACCTGCAGTTCTCTAACAGGGCTGGAATAGAGGGATATGAGGGATGTAATGCATGATCTGTTTGGTATTTTGAGCAAAACACATAATAGACATGTTTTTTATATATCTGAGATCCCATAATGTATGCCTAAAAATAGCATAATAGGCAGGGGTGCACATAACTGTTTTGCCCTGGTTCTCAAAGGAGCACCTGGAGATGTTGCTTGGTGCGCATCCTTAAAATGAAATAAACCGGACCTTTTGAGGGGTACTTGACTTTATGAACAGGGGGGAAGGGGGGAGGCGCGCTAGTGAGCATGCAGCAGGGTTACTGTGGGGAGCGCATTAAGCAGACCCTTCACGCGATAGCGAGTGGTAGAGCGAGTGATCGCAGATGCCGTCGTGCTCGTGGACGGATTAAAACAATTAAACCTAAATAGCTCGCAAATTATACTTTGGGGGCCGTTAATATACCTGGGCGGCCGCCCAAGTAAAGTCTATGTGTGGGAAACCCTGCTATCTTACCAGTTCTTATGCAACTCACAAATATCTCTCGCTCCTGGAGAGAGTAGAGAGCGAGAGAGAGATCGAGCTTAGGAGAGCGGACTCTCATATCTCTCATCTCTCTCTCTCATCTATCTCGCGCGATCTGCTATCTCTCTATATCATTCTCTCTCTCTCTCTCTCTCTCTCTCTCTCTCTCTCTCTCTCTCTCTCTCTCTCTCTCTCTCTCTCTTCAAATGATCCGGTGCTCTTTTTTGGCGGGGGGTTCGCATGCGCACCTGCGCACCAGTTATGTGCAGCCCTGATAATAGGAGAACTTTAAAGCTAAAGTCTATTTTCTTCTTCTGTGGTTTAGTTCATTGACTGTGGCAGAGCAATGTTAAGGAAAAATAGAACTCTGCATAATTCACTCTGAACCTCTTAAAAACCTGAAATTCATCTTATATTCTGTCATGTATTTTTTAAATAAAGGACATTTTTTATTGAAGGTGAAGCATGTTGTCCTTAATATTAATGAGAGCTCTTTTCTCTTTCTGTATCTTAGTTTTTAACTTGTTGACTTCTACATTCTCTACTTCCTCAGCTATACAAAGATTATTAAACCTTGAATATGTTAAACATTGATTTTTTTTTCTAAACATACATCATGTGTTCTTTATTCAGACTGAGTGGCTGCAGTTTGTCAGAGATCAGATGTGCTGCTCTGGCCTCAGCTCTGAAGTCCAACCCCTCCCATCTGAGAGATCTGGACCTGAGCGAGAACGATCTGAAGGATTCAGCAGTGAAGCTGCTGAGTGATTTTCTGGAGAGTCCAGACTGCAGACTGGAGACTCTCAGGTCAGTTCTCCATCTTTTACTTCTGTGCTGAGATTAATATGTGAGAGTTGTGTTGACTCTGAGCTGCAGACATCAGTCTGATATTATCCTGATCCTCACTGAGTATCTTAAAGGGGACCTATCATGCAAAATGCACTTTTGGATGTCTTTTATACATAAACATGTGTCCCCGGTGCGTCAGGGAACTCACAAAGTGTCAGAAAACAAAACCCTTTCTCTTTTCCTCCATACCCAAATCTCTAAAAACGGGGTTACAACAGAGCTGATCAAGATCTGCGTCCGATATGACGTATGCGGACCCACTGCCCTATCAGAAAAGTTGCTATCAGAAACAATGCCCGACTGTTTTGGACGTAATATGGTCTTTGTTTACATTAGCAAACATTGCTAACACTCACAGCTAACCTGTACTGGAGAGAATATGTGTAAAAAAGCAGGAAATAAGAAAAGGAACTCACCTTGTGGTAAACCCCCAAGAGAAAATATATTTGAGCTCCATACTGTTTCAGAAATACTCCTTGATGTGGTTTGGAACATGATGTGGCGTTTAATCAAGGGAGCATTAGGCTGAATCTGCCGGGTAATTATGAGCAGGCATTAGCTCCCCCTCCTCTTTTATTTTTGTTTAAGCTAAGGACCCCGAACCTGCAGTTCTCTAACAGGGCTGGAATAGAGGGATATGAGGGATGTAATGCATGATCTGTTTGGTATTTTGAGCAAAACACATCATAGACATGTTTTTTATATATCTGAGACCCATAATGTATGCCTAAAAATAGCATAGTAGGAGAACTTTAAAGCTAAAGTCTATTGTCTTCTTCTGTGGTTTAGTTCATTGACTGTGGCAGAGCAATTTTAAGGAAAAATTGAACTCTGCATAATTCACTCTGAACCTCTTAAAAACCTGAAATTCATCTTATATTCTGTCATGTATTTTTTAAATAAATGACATTATAAACACATGAATACAATAATTAATTATTTCTACAAAAAATATCAAACACTAACAAATATTTTCAGTGTTTGCTGTTTCCAAAAAATGTATAAAGCTACATGATGCGTACATAGTTCAAACTGAAGATGCTTTGGATTTATGGCTCCACTTGTTCTGAAATATATGTTCTCTCTTAATTTTGATCAAATTTCCTCAAAATGTATCCTGAGATATTTGTCTTCTTTGTAAACTCTGTGATCTTAAGTTGAATCAGTTTCAGTGGGTTTGTATTTGTCTGGCTGCACATCACAGTTAGTGTAGATGGAGCAGAGTTTAAGATGTGAAGTGTCCACTTTTTATTGAAGTAGAAGCACATTGTCTTTAATATTAATGAGAGCTCTTTTTCTCTTTCTGCATCTTACAGTTTTTAACTTGTTGGCTTCTAGATTCTCTATTTCCTCATGAACAGATTATTAAACCTTGAATATTTTAAGCAGGAATATTGTTTTCTAAAGTGACGTCATGTGTTCTTTTTTCAGACTGAGTGAATGCAGGTTGTCAGAGATCAGCTGTGATTCTCTGATCTCAGCTCTGAAGTCCAACCCCTCCCATCTGAGAGATCTGGACCTGGGTCTCAACGATCTGCAAGATTCAGGAGTGAAGCTGCTGAGTGATCTTCTGGAGAGTCCAGACTGCAGACTGGAGACTCTCAGGTCAGTTCTCCATCTTTAACTTCTGTGCTGAGATTAATATGTGAGAGTTGTGTTGACTCTGAGCTGCAGACATCAGGCTGATATTATCCTGATCCTCACTGAGTATCTTAATGCTGAAGTCTATTTTCTTATATTTTCTGTGCTTTATATGAGTTATTTGACTGTTGCAGAGCAATGTTGATCTTTAAATTGAAATATCCTATGTTGCATAATTCACTCTGAACCTCTTAAACACCTGACATGCATCTAATATTCTCCAGAATGATGTTAACAACAATACTGTAAGGGAAACTTCTGCAGCAATGGAGAGTCAGGACTCAGAGAGACACGAGGAGAGTTGGAGCTTTCATGTCAAACACTGATGTTTATTACAAGTATCGGCCGGAGAAATTCACATCACAAGTCACACAGCCAGAGATTCTGACTGCACTGGTGGGTTGCCATGTCAATTCTGCCCAGCCTCTCTCTCGATAGACCTTTTAACTAGTTTACAGAGTTAATCCACATATTGGGGGGCTGACGTAAACATTCTGGGAACACTGGAGACAGCCCCAACATCTGGATTAACTTAATCACCTGTCTGTGGTGCTTAGAAGCCAGCGTTCTCACAGTCATAAAACCCTCTGTGACCGATAGTTGACCGGTCATAAAACTGAGAATAACAACATATGACTGCATTAGCACATTCCTTACGGGAGATAACAGACGTTGGTGATAAACGTCAACAGGCAGAAAGGTTAAATATCTTAGGAGTAAGGAAGAATTATTCCCTCACAAATACCATCATTTTGTATTTGTCTGGCTGAACATCATGAGTTAGTGTAGATCAGGGGTCGGCAACCTGGCACGCGGCACCGTAACCAGTGGCACACTAGGAATAAGTGGAATAAGTGTGCAAAATATTTAAATTGTATTTTGGGATCCTGAACGAGACCGCCGCCAGAGCGTGTCTCCCCGTTACCCGCAGAAGGAAGCCATGCACGCAACGCAGCCCCGCTCTCTTTAACTACAGGTGACTTTCTGGCGCTTTCCTCCGTGGTGCGGATCGTTTCACCACGGAGGAAAGCACTTCACAAATTGCAGTACCCATAAGGAGCTGTACACATGCTGCAGTTTTTGCGTGGCTGTGTATTTAGTTGAAAGCCCAGTGGCGATCTGCTCATCTCTCATCGAAATAATATGCTACAAAGGGACTGGCCATCTGTGTGTTGAACTTTCCTGTCGGCTCCCAGACCGTAGTTGAGGAGGGCAGGAGCAACAAGCTTCAGGTTCAATAACCCACTTTAGCTTCAATGACTGGAGAGAGGCGAGCTCTTCTTGGGAGGCCGTTGCATTTATTTAGCTGTTCTTCTGTTTCACAAAATACATCACAGAGCTCTGTTTTTCTGCTTCCTCGTTTCACTTCCAGAAACAAACACACGTTCGCTCACTGTCGCTCTACCATCCACAAACACACATGCACAAGCCAGACCCCTCTCTCTCTCTCTCTCTTAAAGGGACAGCGATCTCATCTCACTCTGCATGACCCTAATATCATAACATGTGTGTTCTGGAGAATCACAGAACGGACGATCGTCCTTATTATTATGCCGTTTAAACTAATTATTTAAATGTGTTTGTTAAATTCAGCATCATGTAAGTTGCGCTGACAGGTCCACACACTGCTCCCCCGCCCTCCTGCTGATAGTTGACCAGCGTCAAGCTTCTCAACCCCCCCCCCCCCCCGTTGATAATTCTCGATCGTTGGCACGCTGATAACAATTTTTTTTTTTAAATGGCACTTCATATCAAAAAAGTTGCCGACCCCTGGTGTAGATGGAGCAGAGTTTCAGATGTGAAGTCACCACTTTATTATTGAAGGAGAAGCACGTTGTCTTTAATATTAATAAGAGCCAAGGCAAGTTTATTTATACAGCACCTTTAAACACAAGGCAATTCAAAGTGCTTTACAAAAATGAAAGACATTAAGAGCATTAAGAACTAGTGCAGTGGAAACACGTCATTAAAAAGAAAATGTAATAAAATAAACGGAAAAAATACATGGATAAAAGTTACAGTGCAGTCTAAGATGTGAATAGTTCAATTAAAAGCAGCGACAAAAAGAAAAGTCTTCAGCCTGGATTTAAAAGTAGTCAGAGTTGCAGCGGACCTGCAGGTTTCTGGGAGTTTGTTCCAGATAATTGGAGCATAATAACTGAACGCTGCTTCTCCATGTTTAGTTCTGACTCTGGGGACAGAAAGCTGACCAGTCCCTGAAGACCTGAGAGATCTGGATGGTTCATAATTTAGCAGGAGGTCAGAAATGTATTTTGGGCCTAAACCATTCAGTGCTTTATAAACCAGCAGCAGTATTTTTAAATCTATTCTTTGACACACAGGAAGCCAGTGTAAAGACTTCAGAACAGGAGTGATGTGATCCACTTTCTTAGTGTTAGTGAGGACTCGAGCAGCAGCGTTCTGAATCAGCTGCAGCTTTCTGATAGATTTTTTAGTGAGACCTGTGAAGATACCATTGCAGTAGTCGAGTCTACTGAAGATAAAAGCATGGACAAGTTGTTCCAAATCCTGCTGTGACATTAGTCTTTTAATCCTAGATATATTCTTTAGGTGATAGTAGGCTGATTTAGTAACAGTTTTAATGTGACTGTTGAAACTCAGGTCAGAGTCCATGACTACACCTAGATTTCTGGCTTTATCTGTTGTTTTGAACATTGCAGGCTGAAGCTCAGCGCTGAATTGTATTCGTTCCTCCTTGGCTCCAAAAACCATTACCTCAGTTCCTTATCTTTGTTCATTTTGAGCTCTTTTACATTTGTGTATCTTGCCGTTTTTATCCTGTTTGGAGTTTCCACTTTCTAAACTTCTACATTCTGTACTTCTGCATCTATAAACAGATTATTAAACCTTGAATATTTTAAGCATGAACATTGTTTTCTAAACTTACATAATGTATTCTTTATTCAGACTGTGGAGCTGCAGGTTCTCAGAGATCAGCTGGGCTGCTCTGATCTCAGCTCTGAAGTCCAACCCCTCCCATCTGAGACATCTGGACCTGAGTGGCAACAATTTGAAGGATTCAGGAGTGAAGCTGCTCAGTGATCTTCTGGAGAGTCCAGACTGCAGACTGGAGAAATTCACGTCAGTTCTCCATCTTTTACTTCTGTGCTGAGATTAATATGTGAGAGTTGTGTTGACTCTGAGCTGCAGACATCAGGCTGATATGATCCTGATCCTCACTGAGTATCTTAATGCTTAAGTCTATTTTCTTCTTCTGTGGTTTAGTTAATTGACTGTGTTGACAATGTATTGACAATGTTGATCTTTAAACTGAAAAATCCTATATTGCATAATTCACTCTGAACCTCTTAAACACCTGACATGTATCTTATATTCTCCAGAATGATTTTAACAAATTATCTTAAAACATAAAATACAATAATTAAATATTTCTATTAAAACTATCAAACACTAACAAATAAATTCAGGTTTTGCTGTTTCCAACATTTGAATGGGTCTACATGATGCTCATACTGACTGAATAGTTGAAGCTTTAGATGCTCTGATTTATGAATCCACTATTCCTAAAATAAATATTATTGATAAATATTGATCACATGTATTCTAAATTCATCCTGACATATTTGTCAGGATGAATTTGTAAACGTTGTGATCTTGAGTTGAATCAGTTTATGTGGGTTTTTATTTGTCTGGCTGCACATCATGAGTTAGTGTAGATGGAGCAGAGTTTAAAGGGGACCTATCATGCAAAATGCACTTTGTGATGTCTTTTATACATAAATATGTGTCCCCGGTGCGTCGGGGAACTCAGGCAGCGTCAGAAAATAAAACCCCCTCTCTTTTCCCCCGTACCCACATCTTTTTAAAACAGGTGTACAACGAGCGGATACAGATTTGCTGCCGATATGACGTCAAATTGGCAGCGGACCCACAGAAAGTTGCCATCAGAAACAATGCCTGACATGTTTTGGACGTAATATTGCCTGTGTTTACATTAGCAAGCCTTGCTAACACTCAGAGCTAACCTGTACTGTAGAGCACATGTGTTTAAAAAGCAGGAAATAAAAAAAGGAACTCACCTTGTGATAAACCCGCAAGAGAAAAAGCATTTGAGCTCCATACTGTTTCAGAAATAATCTTTGATGTGGTTTAAACAGGATGGCGTTTTATCACAGCAGAATTTAACTTTATCTCCGGTAGAATTCTGATCAGGCATTAGCTCCGCCTCCTCTTTTTTTTTTTTTTTAAGCTAAGGACCCAAAATCCGCGCTTCTCTAACCGGGCTGCAAAAGAGGGGTTTGAGCAGTATGAGGCATGGCTACAATGGGTGATCTGTTTGGTATTTTAAGCAAATAACTTCACAGATATGTTTTGTATAGGTATGGCCCTACAATATATGTTTCCAATATAGCATAATAGGTCCACCTTAAGATGCTACTTTTTATTGAAGGAGAAGCACGTTGTCTTTAATATTAATAAGAGCCAAGGCAACTTTATTTATACAGCACCTTTCAACACAAGGCAATTCAAAGGATTTTTAGTGGGGGTCTTTACAAAAACAGGAAGCCAGTGTAAAGACTTCAGAACTGGAGTGATGTCAGGCCAGATGTTATGTGTCTTATTGTTACGTTTGTAGTAAGGCTTACTGCCTTCATACAGAGCACTTACTATATCATTGTATGGAGCAGATATCACTCCTATGCTTTGCATCCTTACAATTAACATCACTACACATAATTGCATCTCTAGGTAGATGAATATTAGTTAAGGATGTATCCGTCTGAGCATAATAGGATGTAATGTCTTCCTTTGTGAGGGTTGACCAGTCTAGTTTTTCTGTTTGAACACTATTTACATTTCTGGTTAGCCCAGGTAGATGTTCGACATGTATTGACATAGCAACAGGTATATGATCAGTCGTTGCTGTCCTATACAGAATGCTCATACACTCAAGTGAAGCATGCACATCAGCTGTACTAATACAATGGTCAAGCCATGACGTAGTATGCCAGGCCTCACTAATATAAGTATAACAATCTGCAGAAAAAATCACCTTGCTTGACAATATAAAATTCTTTTTTGTGACAGAACTGAGCCATATGCTTGGCAAATAATGAGTTCCTGTCTGTTTACATTGTTTGGAGTTTCCACTTTCTAAACTTCTACATGCTCTACTTCTGTAGCTATAAACTGATTATTAAACCTTGAATATTTCATGCTGAATATTTGTTTTCTAAAATAACATCATGTGTTCTTTATTCAGACTGATGGGCTGCAGGTTGTCAGATATCAGCTGTGCTGCTCTGATCTCAGCTCTGAAGTCCAACCCCTCCCATCTGAGAAAGCTGAACCTGAGTCACAACGATCTGCAGGATTCAGGAGTGAAGCTGCTGAGAGATCTTCTGGAGAGTCCAGACTGCAGACTGGAGACTCTCAAGTCAGTAAGGGTTCACTCAGTCTCTGCTGGTTCAGCAGGATTGTATTAAACACAGGGAGGTGGATGTGTTCCTCACACTGGGGAATCTCTCCAGTTCCATCTTCCAGGTGTAGCCTAGTTTAGCACAACTAATCAGTGATGTTACCATTTATCTGCAGTTTCTCCTTTTCTTTGATCTTGCGGTTATTTACTTTCATTATTATAAAGCAATATAATACAAGCTGGCAATGCAAAGCCACATTTTAGTCAGCTGCAACTTCTTAACAGACAAATGTAATTTTACAGAAAATGGGTTGACTGTGGCAGACTAATGTTGAGCTTTAAATTGAAATATAACAAGAAAATCCTACACTGCATAATTCACTCTGATCCTTTTTTCTTTTATTTCTTTAAACACCTGGAATTCATCTTATATTCTCTATCAGGTTTCTTTCATAAATGATATGATAAACAGATTAATACAGTTAATACACATTTGTATTAAAGGTCCCATGTCATACTTTTCAGGTTATTACCCGTCCCCTTGTGTGTTATGTAGCTTGTTCTGCATGTAAACGGTCTGCAGAGTCAAAAACCCTCAAAGTACACCCTGTTGGAAGTAAAACTCTAACACAGAAAATACCTGTCTAGCTGCCCCAGAACGCCTCGTTGGAGATTTCTCTTTTTCCATTTGTTTCTTCCGGGCATCGCATGATGTTCCCTGAACCAAAATGGACCAATCCGCGGAGCTCCTCACACACCAGGATCCCTTGGCGTCACTATCAAACGCAGTGGGGGGACGTTTAGCGTACATTTTCAACTAACAGGGAGTCCCATTGACTTGCATAGAGCTCCCTGAACGCTGGTAATAGACGAGTTGGGATCGCAGAGAAATGCTCTCCGCAGATCCATTCTCACAGCGTTATAAACCTTTTTCTTACTCAATATCAAGCCACACTTATTGTTTTTACTTCGGCTGTGAGTGTTTGTGTGTGCTCAGGATGAGTTTCGCGCTGTCCCGCTGTATAGCCAACCCTGAAACCACACTAGTAAGCCAGCTCACTGAGCAGTGAGCCTCGCAACGTCCCGACCAATCAGAGCACACTGGGCTCACAGGGAGGGGGGGGGGGCAGGAGCTCCAACAAGCCGTTTAGGACAGCTCTGAATACACATACTTTGCAGAGATGCTGTATGAGAAACTAAAGTGAGTTTGGAAAATTGCACAATATAAATCTATTTTAGTAGACCTCAATAATGGAAATATGATCAGTAGAAATGGCCATGACATGGGACCTTTAAAACTATTAAACACTAACCAATCATTTCAGGTTTTGCTTTTTCTCAAATATGTTTAAGAAGCTAAATGATGCTCATACTAACTGAATAGTTAAAACTGAAGATGCTATGATCTATGTCTCCACTATTCCTAAAATGATTATTCTCTATTTATTTTTGATCACATTTCTTTAAAATTCATCCTGAGATATTTGTAATCCTTGTAAACTCTGTGATCTTGAGTTGAATCGGTTTCTGTTGGTTTTTATTTGTCTGGCTGCACATCATGAGTTAGTGTAGATGGAGCGGAGTTTAAGATGTGTAGTCACCACTTTTTATTGAAGTAGAAGCATGTTGTCTTAAATATTAATGAGAGCTCTTTTTCTCGGGAGTGTCCACTTTATAAACTTCTACATTTTCTACTTCTCCAGCTATATCAGATTATTAAACCTTGACTTTTTTCAAACAGGAACGTTGTTTTCTCAACTTACATCATGTGTTCTTTATTCAGACTGAGGTTCTGCAGTCTGTCAGAGATCAGCTGTGCTGCTCTGACCTCAGCTCTGAAGTCCAACCCCTCCCATCTGAGAGATCTGGACCTGAGTAACAACAAGCTGAAGGATTCAGGAGTGAAGCTGCTGAGAGATCTTCTGGAGAGTCCAGACTGCAGACTGGAGACTCTCGGGTCAGTAAGGAGTCGACTCAGTCTCTGCTGGTTCAGCAGAATTGTATTAAACACAGGGAGGTGGATGTGTTTCTCACACTGGGGAATCTCTCCAGTTCCACCTTCCAGTCGTAGCCTAGCTTAGCACAACACATCAGTGATGTTACCACTCATCTGCAGTTTCTCCTTTTCTCTCATCTTATGTTTCTTTTCTTGCATTCTTCTACAAGCAATATAATACAAGCTGACAATGCAAAGCCACTTGTCAGTCAGGTGCAACTCATTAAGAGACAAATGGGATTTTACAGTTAAAAAGGTAGTCTCTTTATTTTTTCTATGAAGTTTGTTTTTCCTGGACTAATGCCCTGTTAACTCTCTATTGCAGCTGAGAGCTGTGGACAGTCAGTCGTAGTGTTTGCAGAGAAGATATGATGTGATGTGATAAAGCATTGGATCACTCAGGACGCTGAAGCTGACTAACTCAAAGGACAAACAAATATTTTTAACTTGATCTATAACTGTTGGATTGTGTTCATCCCTACAGGATCAATGACGAGACGATCACAGCCAAGATGCAGAAGAAATGTGAGTATTGAACCCATATCCTCCAAATACATCCAAACTATCGTAAATGCAATCAAATCATCGGTAATATATTTATATATCACTTGATGAAATCTGTGCCTCCTGTTTATGTCTAACACGGAGGGGCTAACCAAGCCTGCTACAATGGCCCAAAAACACTTACATTAGGAAAAAGGCGCTGATACTTCAAATACGATGCAATATAAAAACACAAATGTGCCAAAACACATGCAAATGAAAAAACATCTTCACCAACTGGACAACACATGTACAGCATTTAGAAAATATTTACCAGCTTGAGGAAACATGGGCAGCGTTTACTAAAAGCCCTACATTAACTAAATGCTGTAAAAGCCCCAGAAAGCACATGGCTACTTAGCATGCAAAATGACAACATTCTGCATGTTAAGTAGCCATGTGCTTTCGTGTTATCAGCTGAATCTTTATTTATTAATTTGATAATCATTACTCTGATGATAGTGTTCAAGACAGCCCACCTATATGTCTGAACTCGATCCTTAGAGTAATGTGTTATGGAGCCTTCTCTTCAATCTTTTTTCCACATAACGAGCATTTTGCGCTGTTCTTTTCCAATGTCGAAGCAAAATCTGTGTGAAAACATCTTTAGACTGGAATAGCGGGGGCGCGCCCAGTACGTGAACTCACCTCGCAGGTGCACACGCCAGGACAGAGTACATCTGACTCGAGACAGAACTTGCTCGAATCCAAGTCCAAGTCGGAGCATCAATGTACAAGTCGAGTCCGAGTCAGCGTTGCTGAAAAATTCACGAGTCCGAATCAGAGTCATCGTGAGCGAGAATTCACGAGTCCGAGTCATCGTGTACGAGAATCCGCGAGTTCGAGTCTGTGCAATCAGTGCGTGAGTCCGAGTCGAGTCACGAGTCCCGAAAATCGGCACTCAAGTCCGACTCGACTCGAGTACTCCATCTCTGTTAACATTAGACATACTCATATCCAATAAATACCACACTTCTGAATTTTGAGGCTTATATGCGTCTGTCATATAGAAATAAAACAGATAATTAACTTAAAATCTGCAGCTGAGGCACCAGTAATTGAATCTTACGCAGGGCAATGATCCAAGTCCAGACAAGAATCTCCGTTTCTGCATTTATTTCCATAATCCAATAGCATTATCAAATGAACAATTAACATGTTTCCTATTTTCCTTTCTGTCACGATCTTAGTTTTAGTTTGGTCTGTCTTGTCATGGTTTTATTTTGCAATTCTGTTCTCCCTGTGTCTTGTCTTCCTCCCTGTCGTTAGTTTTCCTGGTGTGTCTGATTGTCTGATTGTGTTCACCTGTTACCCTTGTGTTTCTCCTTCCCTGCCCGGCTGTTTCTCGTCTCGTGATTACCCCTCCCTGTATTTAGTCTTGTCTCTTCCTGTATTCAGTGTTGGTTCATTGTTTGTCGTTCATGTCTCCCTTCATTTTGGTCACAGTCACCTTTTGTTTGGATGCTACCTTGTGCTACAGTACCTGTTCATGGATTCTTGTTTTTTCAGCTTTTGTAAATAAAGCTCGCTTTTTGTTTCACTTTGAAACCTGCTTCTCTCCTCAATCTGCATTTGGGTCCTATTTTTCCCCAACCCTGACAGAATGAACCAACCACATATGGACCCAGCAGATGATCCATTTGAAGTGGAGTTGTATTAATTTACCTACTTGCTGGCTTGCAGCTATGGTAAATGGAGTGGAGCAACCAGTGCGGAGCAAAAGAGGGCTGCCCTGGCAGAGGCGTACCAGGGGGCAACAGAGAAACTAGGGTTAGTGAAGTTCTTACCTGGCTGGATTATGAACTTCCTCCAGACATGCGTTTCCCGGCCTGCTAGCCCCCTGCCTGCCACAGTTCCCAACATAGCTTCTTTCGAGAACGCTTTTGATGGGTCTCGTCTGGCTTTTGGAGGTCCGCGGAGCCTCTCGAGTTCCCTCTCAAGTCCCTTCTCAAGTCCCTTCTCGAGTCTCCTCTCAAGTCACCTCTCGAGTTCCCTCTCAAGCCTCCTCTCGAGTCTCCTCTCAAGTTCCCTCTCAAGTTCCCTCTCGAGTTCCATCTCAAGTCTCTTCTCTAGTCCCTACTCAAGTCCCTACCCTATGTCCTGTGCCGTTGGAGGTTCCGCTGGGGGTCCTGCCAACTCCATGTCCTGTCCCGTTGGGGGTCCCGCCGACTACTCTTCTGCCGGGGGTCCTGCCAACCCTATGTCCTGTGCTGTTGGAGGTCCAGCCGACTACTCTTCTGCCGGGGGTCCTGCCAACCCTATGTCCTGTGCCGTTGGAGGTTCCGCTGGGGGTCCTGCCAACTCCATGTCCTGTCCCGTTGGGGGTCCCGCCGACTACTCTTCTAATGGGGGTCCTGCCAACCCTATGTCCTGTCCCGTTGGGGGTCCCGCCAACTACTCTTCTGCCGGAGGTCCTGCCAACTCCATGTCCTGTGTCGTTGGGGGTCCCGCCGACTACTCTTCTGCCGGAGGTCCTGCCAACCCTATGTCCTGTGCCGTTGGAGGTCCCGCTGGGGGTCCTGCCAACTACTCTTCTACCGGAGGTCCTGCCAACTCCACATCCTGTGTCGTTGGGGGTCCCGCCAACTACTCTTCTACCGGAGGTCCTGCCAACCCTATATCCTGTGTCGTTGGGGGTCCCGCCGACTACTCCTCTGCCAGTGGTCCTGCCAACCCTCTGTCCTGTGCCGTTGGAGGTCCAGCCGACACCTGTTTCATCAAGGGTCCTGCCAACTCCATGTCCTGTGTCGTTGGGGGTTCCGCTGAGAGTCCTGCCAACCCCATGTCCTGTTCCGTTGGAGGTCCCGCCGTCACCTGTCTCGCCGGGGGTCCTGCCAACTCCTTGCCCTGTTGCGTTGGTGGTCCAATTGACACCAGCCCTTGCTCCATCCGGGGTCCCATTGACACCAGCCCATGTCATGTCCAGGATCCCGTCTACGCCTGTCCCACCGGCTCCGGTTCCTGTCCGGCCGACACTGGGTCCTGCCCGGCCTCCGGAGATGTCCCGTCAGCGCCTACCTGCCCGTCCTCCGGAGTTGTCCCGTTGCCGCCTTCTTGCCCGTCCTTGTGCCCAGCCCCCTGAGTTCCCCAGCCGCGGCCTTTGTCCTTGTGCCCGGCCCCCTGAGTTCCCCAGCCGCGGTCTTCGCCCTCGAGCCCGGCCCCCTGAGAGCCGCGGTCTTCGCCCTCGAGCCCGGCCCCCTGAGTGCCGCGGTCTTCGCCCTCGAGCCCGGCCCCCTGACTTTCCCGGCCGCGGTCTTTGCCCTCGAGCCCGGCCCCCTGAGAGCCGCGGTCTTCGCCCTCGAGCCCGGCCCCCTGAGTGCCGCGGTCTTCGCCCTCGAGCCCGGCCCCCTGAGTGCAGTGGTCTTCGCCCTCGAGCCCGGCCCCCTGAGTGCTGCGGTCTTCGCCCTCGAGCCCAGCCCCCTGACTCTTCCAGCCGCTGCCTTCGCCCTCATGCTCGGCCCCCTGAGTTTGCCCGCTGTGGCCTTCGCCCCTTTATTTGCCCTTGCCCCCGGGCCGTCCGCCTGAGACCCCCACCACGAACTCTGCCTTGCCCCCGGGCCGTCTGCCCGAGACCCCCACAATGAACTCTGCCTTGCCCCCAGGCCGTCCGCCCGAGACCCCTTCCTGGTCCTCTACCGTGCCCCTGGGCTGTCAGCCCAAACCCGTCCTCCAGACCCCCTCCACCCACCCTTTTGGCCCTAGTGATGCGTCCCTCCTCCGGACCCCCTCCATCCAGGTTTTGGGCTCTTTGTGTTTTGTAGGGACGTCTGGAATCCGTCCCTTGAGGGGGGGGTTCTGTCACGATCTTAGTTTTAGTTTGGTCTGTCTTGTCATGGTTTTATTTTGCAATTATGTTCTCCCTGTGTCTTGTCTTCCTCCCTGTCGTTAGTTTCCCTGGTGTGTCTGATTGTGTTCACCTGTTGCCCTTGTGTTTCTCCTTCCCTGCCCGGCTGTTTCTCGTCTCGTGATTACCCTTCCCTGTATTTAGTCTTGTCTCTTCCTGTGTTCGGTGTTGGTTCATTGTTTGTCGTTCATGTCTCCCTTCATGTTGGTCACAGTCACCTTTTGTTTGGATGCTACCTCGTGCTACAGTACCTGTTCATGGATTCTTGTTTTTTCAGCTTTTGTAAATAAAGCTCGCTTTTTGTTTCATTTTGAAACCTGCTTCCCTCCTCAATCTGCATTTGGGTCCTATTTTTCCCCAACCCTGACACTTTCCTTCATCTCTTTTTATGGCTTTCCTTGTGGCTTGTATCACACTGTGGTTAAAAAAAATTGCCTACTAGTGCTCTACTACCACCTCCACCTGTCTCCAATATATACATTTACATCAGGTGCCCAAACATGCCTTCAAAATAAAAGCATAAAAATTACTTTAACTGAATTAAATAACGACACTAAATAAGAATACCTTCACGATACACAAAAACAGCAAGAAAATAAACATTTAACTATTAAATAATATAAAACAATATATACATCTCAAAGAGTGTCTTTAAACAGGCGGATGTTAACGAGTGGCTAAATTCATAATAACGTCAGCACTGACTGCCCGATTTGCATCTCTGCCCGATTTGCATTGCGCAAGCGCGAGATGGTCCGCCATATTGTAGAGCTACATACGGCAACCCAAATAGGACATTTGACACAGTGGGTTAAGTACATTCTTAGAATAAGTGAGAAATGGATTTAACTTCTGTTAGATAGCTATCATACTGAATAAATATTTACTGTGAATGTATGCAACAATGTATGGCATTAATAATTTATATCTAATGACATTAACTGTGAATCAGGGTTTCCGTTAGCCGGTAATTACAGTTTTTTTAGTTGGTAAAAATGTATTAAAAACCAGTCAATTTAAAACCTGCCGGTCAAAATGTCCGGTAATAATTAGGGATGCTCCGATCGATCGGCCGCCGGTCATTATCGGCCGATATTCACTCTTAATTGTTTGATCGGTGCTCTCTATAAAGGCCGAT